CACCTCCGGGGCAGGCGGGAATCGAACTCATGAGGAAGTGGCTTTAGTTTCTCAGTGCAGTGCTTTAACCCGCTGCGCCACCAGGGAGGGCCTTGGTTACTGTTTTAATCATTACTTCAATGCTGGGGCATTTAGGACCTGATGTGTCTTGAAATTTCTTCTGGCCTTAGATCTTTTTCTTCCTTCCTCTACCTGCTATTGACCATTTATCTATACAAGCTTTCAAAAATAAAACAAAAGCTGCCCAACAAGAATTTAAATTAACTACCCATATACATTATCATACTCATTCACTGCTAATAGTATCATCAGTCATGATCACATCAATAAGAAAACTACAATTTAAGAGATCTAATGATTCCCGAAAATTGCAGGCTATTCAGTTAGGGAGCATTTGCCCTTATCTCCAGATTGTCCTCATGACAGAGAACCAGTGGGCAGATCCATGATCCACAATTTAGCCAGCCACATCCAAATTTCAGTTTGCTCACTAGAAGAGGAGGGAGGAAGGAGTGGGAATAAATTGGGCAGGAGGGCCCATGGTCTGTGGTAAGGACTGTGGATGCTTTGATGGATGACAATGATTAAAACTGGCAGCCTAGATGGGGATCATTACACATTCACCCCACATACACAGCCAACCTCCCCCAAGGAAGAGACTTTGGAGGTCAAGGAAACTGGCCTTCTCTTTTAAACTGAGATATGACTGGAATTTTGTAGACATCAGTAATATTTCTTTGTTTGGTTTGTTTTTTTTTTTTTTTTTTTTTGCCCTTTCCCTGCAGAAGTCCCATCTGCCCATCTATGACAAAGCAAACTGTTTTGTTTTGCTTTGTTTTGTTTTGTTTAGATCAAACACCAATTCAACACAGGAAACTGGTTAAGTTCTACTAACTCATTCAATCTTTCTTTTGAAACTATCATGTGCATTAATTACAGGCTAAAATATACTTTTCTGAAAAATTTATTTTATTTATACATGCAAGAACTGGGGTGTAGGCCAGAGATATGGGAGGGTGGGGAGGGCGAGATGATTCCCCAAAGACAGAGTGGAGAGTAGGATAGGCAGAGCCACTGAAATACACTGCTGAGGGGAGCAGTGAGTGAGACAGGAGAGGTCTGCAGCACCATGTGATCAGCAGCCTGGGCAGGGATAGAAATTGTGCTGCAGTGGCTGCTGATAACTTCATTGCTGAGACTTAACCCCTTGCACCACCAGGGAGGCCCAAAAATATTTTTTTTTATAAAAGGCATACCTTAATACATAATAATAAGCTTTATGGGTCAGGAACAAAGCAAGACTAATAGTGTTGAGCAGGGTAATCGTTCAATCCCTGCAAGGCAATAGGGTTTAAAGCATATCTATAGGGAGCTAAGTTAAAGATGCAAAAGAGAAGGCCTAAACAGGACTTCTCTATCCTCTTAGGGGATCCTTAAAAACCACCACCCATGCTCCCCCCAGCATCTCATGGTGGGAAGCATTCGGGAAAGGCCACACCTGTCCCCTACGCTCACCACAACTGAGTCTCCAGTGACCACAGGACATGACTCTCAGCTCTCAGCAATCTGGCCTGGACTAGTCAAGGGAGGATCAGTGGAGGCCATATCAGAATGATAGGAAAAATGAGCAAGGAAATATCACGCTAAAGTCTGTCCCCAGCAAGAACCTGCATGTTGAAAATGACATCAAGCAAGCAAACCAGTCACCACACTAAAATATCGTGTGTCAACGAGTTACCAACAAACCACATGATATGATAAAAGAAAATAAAGGAAATTTCAGAATTATTTTTTAAAGATTTATTTATTTATGCATAAAGAACTGGGGTACAAGGACAGTGAGAGGATTCATCAGAGACAGTGGGGAGCAGAACAGACAGATGGACATGTACATTGCTGGGGGGGAACAGCGGGCGGGTCAGAGAGGTCAGCTGTGCCATGTGGTCACCTCCAGGGCTGGAGATTGAACTCGCACTGACAGGGCTGTGGCTCGTGTGCAGGGCTGCACTTTAACCCACTGTGCCACCAGCAAGGACCTTCAGAATTACTTTTAAATAAGTGTTTTCAGTTGTCAAAGAGTTTAAAGAGTGAAATTACATATCCAGAAAGAGGGCAGAAATGAAATAGGTGGATGTGCAGAAGCAATATCTGAAAAATAAAGTTATAATCCTTTAAGTAAAAATGAAATTCATAAACTGCACAGATTTTAAGCAAATTAGTGGTTTCAAAGGCAGCATCAAGAAAATTAATCTATAAAGTAGCAGAGACTTTAAAAGGCAAAGGCAAACTGTAAAAGGAAAGGCAAGAGATAAAGAGGATGACTTAATAGGACCTCACAGGTCACTAGTAAGATTTCAAAAGTGAGAAGAGCTCCCTCGCCCACCTGTGACCATGCAGGGACCTCTCCTTTTCCTAGTAAACCTGTCCTTTAAATGAAAAAAAAAAAAAAAAAAGGAGAGAAGATAACATAAATAAGTTGTATTTGAAGGAACTAGTTGAAATATTTTCAGAATTAAGAAAGACACAGTATTCAGACATCAAGTGTCAGGAGGAAAAATGAAAATAAAACTTCCCTGTCTGGGCCCTCCCTGGTGGTGCAGCGGGTTAAAGCACTGCACTGAGAAGCTACAGCCACTTCAGCATGAGTTCAATCCCCTCCTGCCCAGAGGTGACCACATGGCTTGGCAGACCTCTCCGGACCCGCCTGCTGCTCCCCTCAGCAGTGTACTTCATCAGTCGACCTGTTCTGCTCCCCTCTCTGTCTCTGGTGAATCCTCTCACTGCCCCTGCACTTCTGTACCCCAGTTCTACATGCATAAATAAATCTTTAAAAGAAATTAAAAAAGGGCTGCCATAAATACAAGCAATCATTAGGAACCCTGCAGAGAGCAGAATCAGGTGAACAAAATTGAAGGGAAAGCAATATTGTTCCAGACAAATAATCACATGGACCAGCTGTAGGAGGCGTGGCGTTCCAGATTCTCAGTTTCTGTCCTGGGCCTCTGGGCTAACCCTAACGTCTGTACACAGCCTGCAGGACAACACGGCCAGAGACTGTGCTGTCCACAACAGCTCATGCACTTGGCGCTGACAGCCCACAGACACACAGCACAAGCCCAGTAGGAGCAGAATAAAGGCATCTCTGGCTGCTGGACTCAGAGGAGAGTCCTGCCCCCTCTGGACCCTCCAGTGAAACCTGGTGCAGGAAGTCTGTTTCACCATTGCACATACATTGCCACTTTCTCGATTGTGAAGAGCAGTTAACTCCTTCCATCCTCCCTCTCCCCCCAACCCCTGCTCCAACACTCTATTTCACTGGAGCAGCAGAATAACCTCAGAAAATTGCCCAGAAAGACATCTGAGGTTGAGGAGCGTGGGGCCTAACTCCAGAGCGTGCCCCAGAGTCCATTCCTGGAGTGAGTCACGGGATGACAAGCAAGAGGGTGCAACCACCGCAGGCTTTTGGAGACAGATCTGTACATTCTCACTCCTACCCTCTGACCTTTTATCATCCTTCTGAGTTTTGAGTTAAAGAATATCTAATAATAATTTCATTCTCCAGGGGGAAAAAAATGTCAGAGTTGTGAAGTATTTTCAGAAAGAATTTTATACTGAACTCTCAAACAAAGAGAGAATAATACCAATGCATTCAACTATGCCAATAAGCTCTCCTGTGCTGCCAGGCAGCTCTGAATGCATTTGATGGGAAGTGGCTTTTCGGAAATCACTAAGTTAAAATCCATAATTGCCACTTCTTATTTTCTCAGGCTAGACCTTCTCTCTGTGATGATGTTTTCCATTCTACCACAGTAAGGAAGGAAACTAGGAGAATAAAAATGCTTGATCCCTGATCTGTTCAAGTGCAGAACCATCCTTAGCACCATCTTGAGAGGCTGATTCTCGCTGGAGGAAGTAAAGGAAGAAGAGCCACTTTGTGCGGGTTACAGCCAGCAACACTGGAGTGCCCCTGATCTGAAGCTCTATTTGTCCTTTTCTTCAAGAATAAATTCACTCTTAGTAAAGGAGACTTATTAAATGAGGCTGAGTAAATTTTTGTGCCTATGTGAGAGCGACAGCCACCCACAAAAAAATAAAACAAAAAAAAGTATTCATCAAAAGGAAACATTAACAGCTAAAGAGCAGATAAATGTAAAGTACTGTCTAACTGGATTCCATTACCCACCATAATTGAGCTCTGATGTTTAATTATCTGTAACCCTAAAGAAGGGAGCAGTTGCTTCAACTTCTGCCTTTATTCATTTCCTCCAAAGAGCTAGAAGAATGAATAGGCAATAGTTGTTTTCAAGTGCAGGTTTGTTAGGGGACACAGAAGTGACAGCAGTGAGGAAACTAAGAAACAGCTATTCCATTTATTTGCATATTTATGTTTTTCTACTGATAAGGGCAGGAAGAAACAGGTGGGGTTTTGTTCATTTATGTTGTAAGATATAGACCTCAAAGCTCACCAAGCATGTATGTTTAGTATGAAATCGTTATAAGGTGAACACCAAAAAGCCACCCCCAAAGCAAGAAATGGCAAAGTGCAGGAAACCTTCTCAAAATTCTCACCAGTCATAACTCTCCCCTCAAAGGCAACATCACCCTAATTTTTGTGACAATTATTTCTTGCATTTCTTTATAGTTTTGCCAATTGCTCAAGTGCTCCAAAAAACAGAATTTCATTTTGTTGTTTTTTGAACTTTGCAAATAAAATCACAGTGGAAGCAATTGCATTTAGTTCTCACTCAATGTAAAGTTTATTAGACATACCCATGCGGTTACATATAGAGACAGTTCATTTCTTCTCATGGCTGTGCTGTGACTGCACTATGTGATTATACCTACACTGTACTCACCTGTTCAACTAGAGATGAACATTTAGATGGTTTTATTCTAACTAAGACTGGACATTGTTAAGTAGATATTTGGTCCGTGCAAAGGGCCTGCCTTTGGAGAAATATTCAAGAACATTCACTAAGGAGTAGAGCTGGTGAGTCATAGAGTGTTTGCTTGAAAAAGTGTGTTAAGAACACTTAACATCACATTTACCCTCTTTATAACTTTTTAAGTGCACGGTCTAGTATTGCCAGCTGCAGGCGATACTACGATACCACTCACAACTGTATATCCTCCAGCTCTTACTCATTTGTTTAAATGAAACTTTGTATTCACTGAACAGCAGTTCCTCATTTCTCCCTCCCCATCTGTCCTTGGCAACCACCATTCACATCTGTTTCTATGCTTTAGTACATTATGCAGTACTATTATCAACCGATTACTTGCAGACTATTATTAACAGAAGCCAACATCTAGTAAAAAACCTAATGCCCATCGATAGGTGAATGGGTAAAGAAAATGCCACATACAGTTATGCATATGACAAAGACACACATTCTGAGTACTGTGTCACTGGACATTTTAGTCACTGTGCAAAGAACATAGAGTAAAACCACACATCCCAGATGTAAGCATTTGGGCTCCCTCCAGTAGCCTGTTGGGATCACAGCCATATATACAGTCCACTGTTGCCCAAAACATTGTTAAGCCATATATACCTGTATACGCACAGTGGAGGTATATTCAGCCTCAAAAAGGAGGAAATCCTGTCCCATGTGACAACACAGGTGAATCTGAAGGATGTTACTAAGTGACATAAGCCAGCCACAATTTCATTTAAATGAGGCATGTTTACTACTTTAACTTAGCTGATTTTTGTCAAACTATTTTCCAAAGTGCTTCTGCTCATTATCTCACCAATTCTTAGCAGAGGTCCAGTGTATGAATTCCTAGAACCCTCGTAAATAGCTTTCGTTGTTCAAATGGAAAGAGGTGTACACAGGAGAAAGGGAGAGAATGTTTGAGCTCCATCATGCAGGAGACAAGGTGGACTTGAAAACCACATGTGACAGAATCCCCAACCCCTAACCGTGACTTTCCAATGTTCTCACATGTAAAACGAGAATAATGTCCATCACAGAGCTATCTGGGAGGTAAAACAAGGTACATGTGCAATGCCTACCACAGTACCGGACACCTAGTAGACAGGATATAACCCAGCAATCAGTGTCTCCTTCTCTTCCTCCCTGAATTCTAAAATCAGAGTTGACAAGTCAGGTATCTAGTTTCCTGAGGACAAAGGCCTACACCATCTAAACTGCTTTCTGATAAGACAGGTTTGTCTTTTTTTTTTTTTTTGGTGGTGGTGGTGGTACCTGAGCATAGAAATGTGTCTTGAATAAATAAGGACTAAAACCAAACAAACAGCACCTTCTTTTAGAACTTTCAGAATTCAAAACCCAAGCATCAAATCAGGTGCAGCAAAAAGTGCTGCACATCTTCTAGGAAACATTGGATAGAACGATTAGAGAGTAACTAAAAACAACTGTTCCCAAGCCAAGCTAAAATGAACAAAAGTAATATTCCAGTAGCATTCTACATCACTGTGAATGACGTGAAGCAAGGTCACTGCTCCGGAGAGGATTCTAAACATTTCCTGAAGACCAGACGTACCCCTGAGGCTTGCTGTAAGAGGTAAGTGCATACTCCTGACAATTTAAGAGCCATTATAAAAAGTCACTGACCTCCTTTCATTCTGAGTGATGGTGCCATTCTCCAGCTTTTTCACGGTGGTCGCCAGCACCTTATTTGCATCATTGGCAAAGTCTAGATCTCGGACCTCAGACAGTGGAACAGACACGATGGCAAAGGCTTCCTTATCCTCTTTCGTTTGGCAAGTTCCAATCTGCAATGTTTTTCCAGTGAGGTTAGTTGCCATTGTCTTTTCATAATTGTGCACTACTCTTTGAGGACTAATACATCTTAGCACTATTCAAGAAATGGAAGATGGAAACAAATACTCTGAACATGTGGCAGCCACTAGCGGAAGACACATGGATTCTCCACGCCCACGTTCTGTCCTTCTCCCAAAGCCAGCTGGAAAGGAATCCCTTTCTCACTGGCCATCAGTTTCAGTTTCAACAAAAGGGAGAAAATATGCTCCCCGAATCTGCCCCACATCATGCATCACTGCCTGCAGCACCCAAGCCATTTAGTTCTAGCTACCTGTACCCTGCCAGATACCAGGCATGATGGGATTAACTGCAGTCATCTCCAAAATAGATCTTGAGGATGAATTTTCAGGTACATGCCAGTTACCCACCCCCAAACCTAGTCACAAAACTAAACCATTGTCAGCATCACTTACCTTCAGCATAACAGGTCTCTCTTCATCTGTGTCTATGGGGATACTCGTACTAGTTACCCATGTATTGGTACATAAATGCCTTAACCGAACATATGAGTTCCTAGAAGCAAAATAAAAAACAGATTATAAAAATTACCGCACTTGCCTATTAACACATTTCACAGTTTTGTATGTGGTATGAATAGAAATGTACTTTAGGCTAGTGGCTGACATCACCAGAGATCAGTTTGGTTTAAGCGAACATTCTAAACCACAGACTATTTCGTAGTTCACAGAATTATTACCTGGACCACTGCTTCTCAAAGTGTGGTCCCTGGGCCAGCAGTAATCAGCATCACCTGGAGACAAGTCAGAACTGCAGTTCTGAGCCTTCATCCCAGTCCACCAAACCAGAATAGCTTGGAAGGTGGAGCCCAAGCATGAGTATCCTGACAGGCTCTGCAGGCAATACCACTGCAGATGAGGTGCATCCACAGGGGAACTGACCAGCTCAGTCCAAACTGCTGTCTAGAGTGAGCCTCTGCAGTATGTCTGCCTGCAGGTGTAACTGGAGTCTACCTTAGCCACTCATGGGTTCCACATTGTGCATGCACCTCACTAGGATTTATTTATGAACTCAAATCAATGCCGGGATGCTTTGCAGTCATTCTCAGACTTGCACAGAGCGACAGAAGCCTAGGATCCTGCCTTCTTGTTTCAGCTTTCACACTAGAAACAGGTTGTCTTTTGCATGGTCTATTTAATGGCACAGTTTCAAAATATCTGTGCTTTTTGTTGGTTGAGTTGGTTATTTGCAGTAGTCTCCAAGCGTGATGCCCAAGTGCTGTCCAATGTTATAAGAGCACGGCTCTGATATGATATAGAAAAAGGACTCAAGTGAGAAAAACTTGATGCAGGTGTGAGTTATAGTGCTGATGGCTGAGTTCAGTGCTACAGCATCAGCAGTATAGACTAACTAAGGTGTCCTTCAGCAGAAATGCTCATAAGGTCCTGTGTTGGCTGATTGACCACTGTACCCAAAGGCTCATGGGAGCTTCATTATGTATACACCCCATAAGCACCTAGTCAACATTTGCTACTTCAGTGTACAACAAATAGAAAAGCCCACTGTTTACAAACAGCGAGGGAGCATTTTATCCAATGCAAGTGATATCCATTCTAGAGAGCCTTTTAATTATCACTATTTCTTTAACAAGAAGTATCTATTAGAGGAAAATACTTCAGCATGTTTCCTCCCATTTCATTTTCCAGTTCATGTCCTGATGCTTAGAACACTCGTCCTAGATAGGCAGTTGGTCCTTCAGATCTTTTCAGGACACGAGTGCCCTGAATCTAAGTTGTTGCATATGATCACTCTTTCCTAACAGGACTTGCCCCACTCTGCAATTTTTCTCCAAAGCATTTTCATGATCTGACCTTAGACTTGTTTCTTGACTTATCTCCCTCACTTATTTGAATGTAAACACATAACCAGCTTACTCACTGCTGTCTTCCCAACGCTGAGAGAAGTACCTGGGAAGGCAATCACTGTTCATTTAATACTTGTGGACTGAATGACTGATGAAATGAGTGAACAAAAATCTGATATAATAAAAAATAAGTGATATGATTTAATAGAAATGCATCTGGATTATTTTGCATTTTAGTAACAGAAGGTCAGCTATGTAAAAAGAATGAATAATTTTCAGGAGCTTTTCAGAATTTCTTTGGTGCTATGTAGTTTAAATTCAGTGGGCCCTTGAACAATCCAAGGGTCTGAGCTACAGACCTTTGTGCAAGTCTGCAGATAGTAAAATAAAGCATGTTTTCTTTGATAAAGGCAATATCTAGTCTATTTCACAATAAACTAGAAAAAATGTTATATTAAAATCTTAAGGCAATCATCCTAAAGGTCTTTATGATTGTCTTCAGTTTGAGTAGATGAGGAAGAGTGGAAAAAATTCATGTATATGTGGTCTGGTCCGTTCATGCTGTCCAAGGGTGAGCTGTATTATAATAATAAAGCTAACTACGCTTATCTACTTATGAAAGAGACAATTTTCACACATTTTTTCCAACTATACTTGCTCCTTTAATATCACATTAAGTTATTAAAGTTACAATTTCAATTCCTTACCAACCAGAAAGATTATTTAAGGAGCCATTATCTTTTACTCAAAACTTTTTTTTTTTTCTTTGTTTACCTTGGAACCAGGCAATCAGCTCTCTGAAGAGTTGTGGCATCCAGTTCAAAAAGAGACGCAATGTCATTTCCATGTGGAACTGAGACCAGAGTGTACATGATCTTCTCCCCTGCCTGGCGTTTCTTCTTTGAACTTGGAAGATCTCCCTCTCTCTGTTGAAAAGGTACAAGGTTATTTATTTTTATCAATTTTTCTTAATAAACTCTCCAATTAATTGGGGTATGAATTTTAACTTTGCATGTTATTTCTCTATTGGGGTTAATACAGCTGTGTATTTCAGATCATCTCAGAAAGAGCAGCTCAGATCTGACAGCTTTTGAGATCATTATTACCAACAGCGGTAAGTCACACACTCCTGGGGGTGGGTTCTGGATGTCTCATCAAGTCATGAAGAGTCACAAGAATGGGGCAAAGGGTTAAAGCACAACACTATGCTGCTACTCGCAGCCACTGTAACATGAGTTCAATCCCCAGCCAGGGAGCTGACCCACATGGCGCAGAACTCTCCCATCTCATCAGCTGCTCCCCTCCGCAGTGTATTTCAGTCAATCTGCCTGTTCCATTCCCCACTCTGTCTATGATGAATCCTCTCACACCCTCCCCCCCACCCTACTCCCCTACACACACCTCTGGCCCCCAGCTCTTGTATGCATAAATAAATAAAATTTTTAAAAAGAATCATGAGTGAGGGTTCCTGGGCCTCCCTGGTGGCACAGGTTAAAGTCTCAGAGCTATCAACTATCTAGCCACTGTGGCATGAGTTCAAACTCCAGCCAGGAAGCTGATCCACATGGCGCAGCAGACCTCTCCTGCCTCACCCACTGCTCCCATCAGCAGAGTATTTTGGTCAGTCTGTCTATTCTGCTCCCCATTCTGACTCTGGTGAATCCTCTCAACCCCCATACCTCTGGCTTATACCCCAGCTCTTATATTCATAACTACATAAAATAAATCTTGAGGGGAAAAAAAAGAGTTAAAAGTAGCTTTTCTTATATCAAACCTATTATGCAAGTAATTTTTTACATTACACAGTTAAAACAGAGAGAAGAAACTGTGTGGAATCTAGTTTTCATAAATTAAAGAGTCAGCTAGGCAGTGTTTCAGGGCCCCTCCCCAACAGCTAATTGGGACATGAAGGAGTCAATAACAACATTCTATTCACTTCATCAGTTTATTCCTTTAGATCCCAGAACACCCTACAATTGTGTTACAAGTGAAGTAAAATAAAATCTTCATAAGCAGAAGTCTTCATGAGTTTCCTAATAACATGAAACTCAGTCATAATGTCAGTCCACCCCTACCAGTTTAAGTAGGCAAAAGCACAAGATTAATGATTGTGTATTTTTACTTGAACTTCCTACAGTCCCAAAATCCCATGGAAGAAACTGACATACAAGGAACCAAAATGTGATATAGCAAATACAATATAAACTTGATAATTAAGTATCTAAAAACAATTACTATATATACTTATTAAAGTAAGTAAAAAACTGAAAATGAGAAAGGCTGTCATTTTATCATCTGTGAGCTTGAAAGATTTTTCCTAAATAAAGCTCTGGCAGCAGCCAGAGATGTGAAATTATATCACCTGGAATGTATTCCTTTGGGTCTCAAAATACTTCGGTTTTTAATTATTCTTATTCAAATTTAGATAGCCTTTGTAGTTTATTTCTTTACTCCATTTCAACTCTCATAGTGGGTTGAGAGAAAAATCCTAAAGCAGAGGACTGATTGCAATAAACACTAGGAAGGGAAAGAAGTAGAAAAAGGAAATGTGGGTGATATACTAGGAAAACAGGAGGGAGCAAGAAAAGGCCCATGTTTAGTCTTACTGCTAGAAATTTAGGGAAAAGTCTAAAGTATGTGCTACTTAATATGGGCTAAGTACTGAATTAGATATTATTATCCTACTTCTACAGATAAGTCAGCTACAGATGAGTAAGCTTGGCTCCGGAAGTCAAGCTCACAGAACTATGATAGGGTAGAACTAAAACCCAAACTAGTTACAGCTTATTTCACATTTCATACTCTTAATTAGTATGCCACAGTGAGGGCACAGTAATCAATAAACTTCTAGAAAATCATTAGCGAAAAACTTGGAAAGATAAACTTAACTGACTCTGTATATTTGCCTTTTTTCTATCTACTTTTTTGAAAGCCTATTGCTGGATGTACTTTTTTTGGGGGGGGTGGCTAAAAGAAAGCAAAGTGCTAAGACAATTCATTAGGAAAGGTATCATTTTAAAAAAATTAAACAGTGCTGGGGCCCTTCCCTGTGGCACAAGGGGTTAAAGCACAACACTATGAAGCTATCAGGAGCCACTGAGTCACAAGTTGGATCTCTGGCCAGGGAGGTGACCCACAAGGCACAGTAGACCTCTTCTGTCTTGCCCTCTGCTCCCCTAACAGCAGTGCATTTCAGTCAATCTGCCTATTCTGCTCCCTACTCTGTCTCGGGTGAATCCTCTCACCACCCCCCCCCCACGCCCCCGCACCTGTGGCCTATATCCCAGTTCTTGTATGCATAAATAAATATTTTTTTAATTAAACAGTGGTAAAAACTGCATGCCAAAATGAAGTTAGGTCCCAGCCTTACAACGTAAAAAGCATCTACATAGAAGAGCCAAGACTATAAAACTCTCAAAAGGCAATGAAGGGTAAATCATGTTACCCATGGTAAGCAATGGTTTCTAACTCATGACACACAAAGCACATACAAAAAAGAAAACAATTTTTAATAGACTTCATAAAAAAAAGACTTTTATACTTCAAAGGAAACCATCAGGAAAATAAGAAGGCAATGCAACCACGTGAGGTTTATCCTCGCTATACAAATCTGGTGCAACACTGGAAGATTAATTCATTCATAGACTAAAGAAGGACACCCACATAATCATAGTGATAGATGCAGAAAAAAGTATTTGACAAAATCCCAAAACCCATTCATGATAAAAACTTTCAGCAAACTAATAGAGAAGAACTTCCTCAATGTGATAGGGAACATCTACCCAAAAAAAACTGTAACTGACATCATTACTTACAAGGCAGGAAACTGGAACCTTTCCTGTTAAGATGAGGAATAAGGTCCCCCATTAGCACTCTTTTGCAATATCATACTGGAAGTCCCATACAGTAAGACAAATGAAAACAAAAGTTCTGTAGATTGGAAAGGAAGAAATAAAATTTTGTTTGCAATTGACAGAAATATCTGTATAGAGAATCTAAAAGAACCAAAAAAAAAAATCCTAACCCTAGTAAGTGATTAAAGCAAAGTTGCAGGAAACAAGGTTAATATATAACAGTAAGTTGCTTTCCTATGTACCAGTAACAAACAGTGGGACTTGCAATAAACACTCATGATACCATTTATACAGTATCCAAAATATAAATACTTAGGTATTAATCGAACAAAACATGTACATGGTCTATATGAAGAAAACTAGAGAAATGCTGATGAAAGAGATCAAAGAGCTAAGTAAATACAGTTGTAATATGTTCATGGATCAGAAGAAATAATATTGTCAAGATGTCACTCCTTTCCAATTTGATTCATGATTCAATGCATTGAATGCATTCTAACTGTATGACTAAACTGTGAAAACAACAAAAAAACTGTGGTAACCAGAGGAGGGATAAACAGAGGATTTTTTGGTATGTGCAACTATTATGTATTATATGTCAAAATTCATAGAGTACACAACATGAAAAGTGAACACTAATGTAAACTATGGACTGTGAACAATAATGAGCTGTCAGTGGAGGTGAATGGATGCTCTACTCTGGTTGAGTATTTTGAAAGTAGTGGTGTTTGATGGGGGCAAGGCGCATATGCAAACTATCAGTACTTTCTACTGACTTTTGCTGTGAACCAAAAATTGCTCTTTAAAAAATTTATCTATTTTAGGCCCTCCCTGGTGGCGCAGCAGGTTAAAGCACTGCACTGAGAAGCTAAAGCCACTTCCGCATGAGTTCAATTCCCGCCTGCCCCGGAGGTGACCACATGGCGTGGCAGACCTCTCCTGACCCTCCCACTGCTCCCCTCAGCAGTGTACTTCGTCGATCTGCCTGTTCTGTTCCCCACTCTGTCTCTGGTGAAGCCTCTCACCGCCCCTGAGCCTCTGGCCTGCACCCCAGTTCTGTATGCACAAATAAATAAATCTTTAAAAAAAATTATCTATTTTAAAAAACATCTAGGAAGAAGTATCTGTAAACTGCATATCTGAAAAGGAACTTGCAATCATATACCAAGAACACATACAATAATAAAAAGACAACTGAACTAAAAAATAAACAAAGGATTTGAATAAACATTTCTCCATAGAAATGGCCAGTAGGCACATGCAAAGATGCTCAGTATCATTACTAACTAGGGAGACGAAGTAGGAGGGCTATATTCCGTGAGACAAACAAAATCAAGTGTTAGCATGGATGTGGAGAAATTACAACACTCACGTTACTAGGGGGGCACAAAATGTTACGGCCCCTTTGGAAGAATTTGGTCCAATGTTAAACATATGCCCAGCAATTCCACTTCAGGTTTCTATCCAAGAGAAATAAAAATGTATGATCCCAGAAATGTCTGTACAAAAGCATTCACAGCAGCACAGTCATAAAGTAGAAGCCACCCAAATGCCCAATTACATTATGGCTGGATAAGTAAAATGTGCAAGATTCACACAATAGAATATTACTTATCATTTAAAAAGGAGTAAACTACACGTGCAAGTTATAATATTCACCAACATTATGATCCGTGGGAAAAAAGGGCACACGAGGCTATAAGTTTATGATTCTAAATATCTAAGGTCCATAGTAGGAAAATACTTAGAGGTGGTAGATTTGTGGTTGCCAGGGCTGAGGGGTGAGTTTAGAGAGTAAGTACTAACACATTTCTTTTTGGGGTGATAAAATGTTCCAACATTGGAGACTGGTTTGGCTTCACAATTCCATGAATACTAAAAACCAGTACTTTGTATACTTTAAGCAGATTTTATGTTGTATCAACTGTATCTCAGTAGGAGTGGTGGAAGAAAAGGAGAGAGGGACTAAGGGAACAACAATGAGTAGGAAGGAAGGAAAGGAGCGGTAGGGAGAGTAGAGGGATGGCAAAGCAAGCAAGCAAGGAGGGAATGCAAACTCATCTCTGCCGTGC